CATCAAGCTTGAGCAAAATGTTATATTTATATTAACGAGAGGCATGGAGAAGATATTTTTTTAAATTAATTTGTATGTTTGTTGCATTGACTGACATGACCATGTTGATATAATTCGGAATGACACAACCATGTCATATAATTCAAAGGTGACAAGAGGAGATCCATATGACACTGAAGTTCCCTTGTCTGAAAAGCAGGGCTGGCCTTGAGTACACAATTTTAATGGAATACTAGTAAACATATGTTTGGCATATCGCAGCAAACTCTCAACAAACTCACCAGAGTACAAAATGCAGCAGCAAGACTCATCACTGGTGCAGGCAAATATGAACACATCACGCCAACATTACGTACACTGTATTGGCTGCCAATCAGACAAAGAATTGTCTTCAAGGTGTTGGTGTTTGTGCACAAGGCCCTTCACAACCAAGCTCCAGAATACCTGACTGAACTAGTGTCATGGTATCAGCCATCGCGAACCCTGAGATCAGCCTCTTCAAAACAAGCAGTAGTGCCCTCTACCCGCAGAGCGAGTTATGGCGATAGAGCTTTCGCCAAAGCAGGTCCTCTGTTATGGAACCAACTACCTGAAAACTTGAAAAACTTGTCAGACATCATTCCATTCAAAAAAAGAACTAAAAAACAGTTTTTTTCCACAGAGCATTCGACCAAGCACCTTAGAGCAAACCTTGGATTCAGGCATTATACAAATTTAAACATAATTATTATTATAAACATAACTCTCTATACATTGCACTGAACAAAGGGCGTATATAATGCTCCTAGTTGCAAATTTTACACTTATGAGACTGTTTTTCTGAAGCTAGTGGGACACTTGACCTTGTGTCATGTTCCTTTGGGGAAAACAGGCTGTCTGATAAAGGGTTCGCCACCACAGTTATCTTCCCGAGGCAAGGGATTTAACGGACTATAATCCAGTTTCCACTCTACATGATCATGGTTGGAACTTGAGTTCCATTTTGGGAGGCGTAATGTGTGTCTGCATAGTCAAATAAATAATTGCATTGCGAAATCATCATTTAGTTAAACAACAGTTGATTGCAGGATCTACACAGCATGTGAACCATCAAGTCTGCATTCACACAATTTTCAGATCTCATCATGTTTCTTATGCAATTCACTTTGGCATGTAAAACCCATTTGATTGCAATATAGATTTCGACTATCAGTATCATTGACTTGACTGAGAACTGTCATTTTGTTTGAAGCAAATGCATGTGATATGAAAGAAGGAACATGATTAGTTGATGGGAGTGATGGGACATGACTTGGGGCTTAACTGTGAATTGCCACTGGTATGATTAAGCCATGAACATCAAAGTTTGTTCTACAAAAGTAGAAACTGGTCATTTATTGTCAGCCAACTCCTTATGTAGGTTCCAAAGTTTGGTATGACTAGAGTATAGTGGTAGTTTATAATGTACAGAAACTGTTCCAATTTACCACTCAAACCACATCGGGTCTTTTTCTTAACTATGTCAGTTTGCATCAACACACTGACCACACCCCTCCCGGTCTGGAACATGATTGTTTGAAAAAGGAAAATGCAAATGTTTGGTTGGCTGGTTGTTTAACACCGCACTCCGCAATCTTCCAGCTACCGTATATGACCGTCTATAAGCCGAATTTTGAGGACCAAAAAAAGCAGTCTGTAGAAGGGGGTCGTCTTATCCATGAGTTACACTTTCGTCAAACTTTTTTCCAGGGGTAAGAAAACAACATCGTATCACTTCGTGTGAACAAACAACAGAAGACAACTTTGCCAGTAGAGACGTCAAATTTGCAATTAAACATCACTAGACAAGATTAATTACCATTTAAGTTATAAGTTGTTTTTGCTGGGCATTGTTTTATTTGCAGGGATTAAGATTACCATGCGTATTTGTCTCATACACAAAGCCGGAAATAGCAATCAGCTGTGCACACGTTTCCCGGCGAACAAGTTCAAACATGCACAATAATATAACGGGACGAATTCTGACGCAGTCATCAGTAAAATATAATACAGAATACCGTTATTTAACCCAAAGAAATATATCCTAGCATTGTGTAATTTTAGTTACAGTTTTTGCTCTATAAATTAATTAAGATTACCGTGCGTATTTGTCTCGTACACAAAGCCGGAAATAGCAATCAGCTGTGCACACGTTTCCCCGCGAACAAGTTCAAACATGCACAATAATATAACGGGATGAATTCTATTGATTGAATACTATTATTTAACCCAAAGAAATATATCCTAGCATTGTGTAATAGTTTTTATGTAAAAAATATATAATCAACACTAAGGTTATACGGACCATCATGAACGTGGTAAGCACGTGACATGGAACGAGGCGGTAATCAGTTTGTGATTGTTGAATGGGGTAAAATAAGCAAGCCAGTTTGTTGCTACAATAAATATGATATTTAGAGAAGAAAAATATATTATGCATTTTCTGTCAACTACACTTCGTTTCGATCCGTGAGTAGACACAATATATATGACAGTGAATTCTTTGAATAATGTGGGTCGGCTTATCCATGGGGTCGGCTTATAGACGGTCATATACGGTATATGGCAGCAGTAAATAATCAACCAAACAATCCTGTGATCAAAAGCATGAGCATCTATCTACACAATCGGATACAATGACATGTGTCAACCAAGTCAGCGAGCATGACCACCTTATCCCGTTAGTTTCCTCTTATGACAAGCATGGGTTGCTTAAGATCAATTATAACCTGGATCTTCACACGCTGCAAATATGTGAGCTATCTCCCCTGGTTGAATAATGCTCCATTATTGTGTATTTCACTGATCTTCATGATCTTACATCTTAACATCATTGTGTCCTTGATGCAGATTGTAAGTAAGGCTGATCTCATTGTTCGACTGTATTGATTTATACTTTCAAATAAATGTATATTTTCATTGCTAAATGCATAAAATAGATAGTCATTCTTGATGTACCCATTACATCCTGAGAGAAACACCATGTTATGTAGGAAATAGAGTTTGTTTTGTGTTGTAAACTATAGTTTTGTGCTGAACTATTAGCGCTACAACCCAAGGACAATTACGCCCAGAAGCCTTGATGTTATAAAACTTTAACTATTTTCGGTCATTCAACATATTTTGTAAAACTGTTGAGAATGGTGGTAACTTGTGCAACATCATGACATCAGCCCATTAGTACATACTGACAACCTTTTTGAAAAACCACTTCTTTTATTTCATGAGTGCGATATTTTGATACAGATTCTTGTACTGTTGTCCTTCTTGACAATGGTGCAAGAACCTGTATTGAAAGGTGGCTATCACAAACAAGAGAAGTTGTTGTCCATATAGTTTTTCAGCATTGTACTTCCCATCTTCTAAAATACCACTCAAAGAAGTCCTTAAGACATGTCTCAAAAAGTGTACTTTACCACAGGATAAATATACTGTGCTTTTGATCTTTTAGTGAAATATCTTAGAAAAGGGATGTTTCTGGTGTATTATACTAATCATTATCATCTTAAATATTACTTCAAAAATCATTGTGTCCTTGATGTAGATTGAAAATAGACTTGGTTCCTGTTTTAGGAAATACTTATTTATTGATCTCCAATGAATACATCATTCCATTGCTGAATACATTGTATGTATTCCTCTTTTGTCCTATACTGGAAGACCACCTCCGTGGTGTAGTGGTTAGAGTGTCCGCCCGGAGAGCAGAAGGTCGCGGGTTCGATTCCCGACCGCGTCATACCATAAGACGTTAAAATATGGTACTTGTTGGTCCCTGCCTGGCGCTCGGCATTAATGGGTACAGCAAAGACTGGTCGGCTCGGAGTCAGTATAATGTGTCTGAGTGGGGTATTCATGCTTCACTGCAGGATGGTATCTCAGTGGGCTAGCACTATAAAACCAGCTTAAGTCTGAGCTAGTACAAGCAGCCGCACATACACATACACACGCATGCACGTCGTCATATGAGCGAAATATTCTCAAGTACGACGTTAAACCCAATTTCACCTCACCTATACTGGACAGGAGCAGAGTTTGACTTGGCGGACAGAATACACTGACCGCCACCTGACCCTGTCTGTCTGTACATACATGTGAACTTTAATCACATAAGTACTGTCCTGATCACAAGGCAGCCAGACAGGTTGTTGTAACCGGCTTCAGATGCCAGACAGTCCTGTGATGGTGATTTTACAATGATTGAGTTAGTAGTTTAATACCAGTGAAAAGTGTTTCAGTCATGTCTGACTGAAGAGTTTGAAGAAGCAGGGCAGAGACATTAACCACTGTGGTAGAACCCACAAGTGTGAGGTGGTTCTGACAAAACCATAAAAATTATCATGATATATCTTGGATTCAAACTCAAAATCACAGGTATCTGACAGGAAATAGCATCTCATGGCTGCCAATGATCTCAGTGGTTGTACTGGCATGTCCTTCATGTCCTAATATAGTATACATACATTTGTTAACATAGGAACAGATAAAATATTTCACAGATTCGACCTTGTGTATGTTTATTAATGAATTTGCAAATGCTGATGTTGGATGTACAAAGATTAATACTGACATCCAGAAACTCTTGAAATTTATAAATCTGACAGATTATGTACATATTGACAATATAATACATTTGTATCACATCACCATTATAATGCATTAGAGGCATTCCATAATTATATTTGATTATCTTTCAGTCCAACAGTATGTTTTAAGTTTATGCTAGTCAGAAATTATCAAGATGTAAACTCTGTTATGCTATGTTTCAAAATTTTCTCAAGAAATGAACCCAAATACAACATGTGAATCTGTGTGGAAAATAACCCAGCACTGTATTGTAGGCACTTCAAGTATCGAGGGCTGTGGCCTTTCACACAATAAACATTTGAATTTGATTGTTACAGATTGCTGTATTTTTCACTTCTTCTGCAAACACAGACTCAGTATGAATGTCCAGTTTGTGTAGCCTTGTGCTTTTGTTTCAGCCCAGTGCTCAGACCCGGAGTTGCTGATCTACAATGGTTTTGCCACAAAGGATATGTTGCCTGTGAAGGTCCTGTGTGGTCAGCTGGCTGCATATGACAAGGGAATGAGCAAGTATTTGTCCACAGCATCCAAAATTGTTATAAGGTAAGGTCATGCTTTGTATCTTATAACATTGTACCTGAGTTAGTAGAATGGTTCGTGCTGTTGTTGTAGCAGTAGATTCTGTGCCAGAAATTCTCTGCCCATTCTGAATATATAATCTGATGCAACTATTGGTCATTATTCACAATTATATATCAAACTTAATGTGATTTAAGTTGGAGAATTCACCCAAATCTGTTGATTCTGTTTGTAGCCCCAATCTGATTCTTATGATGTTTCTAAATGGTACACATATCAACTATCCTTGCAACTTCACATGATCCGTATCTTCCAGCTTGCAACAACTCTGGCAAGATCATCAGTACCCTGATGTTATGTTTGTTTGTTTAATGCCACACTCAGCAAGAATTCAGCAAAATGATAACTGTGTGTAAAACTTTGAGTCTGGACCAAGCAATCCAGTGATCGACATCATGAGCATTGGTCTGTGTATTTGAGTTATGATGATGTGCATCCACCAGTTCAGCAAGTAACATGTTAAGTTGCCTCATGCTAGATGATATTGGTGATGTCATATCAAATGACATCTTTTGGAATCTACCAAGTATAGCCTCTAATATCTACAGTGCCTGGTAGTAGTATTCAGTGTATGATGCTTGTCAGGATAGTTTTACATGCTGAGTGTTTGTTGGCAACATTCCAGCTGTATTGGTGTGGAAGGATTGTATGTGATCCGGTTTCAAATCTTTGGAAATCATACTAAAGCAATTTTTCTAATACAATATAATAATGCTAATGGTTGACATAGACAGTCAAAAGCTAGTTTTAATTTTAAAATATTTATGAATATAAAAAATAAATAGAAGGTTTTCTTACTAATCAGCCTTCATCAGCCACTGATTCATTAGGGATATTTGTTTTAGTTTTGTTGGTCATTTTCATCTACAGAAATGAGGGAAGTTATTATTTTTATTTTGATGAACTGACAGAGTGCATAAAAAAGATTTATGTTTAAATTTCGGAGACAGTCAGGGTGTGGACATTTCAGCATGTAGCCTGATCCAAATTTGCTCATCATGGGCAGGTGGTTATTTTGTACACACCTGCAAGACAGCCTCACCGGACCAAACCCGTTCTGTGCCTGTTTTGTAAATGGCATAACACCACAAAACGGTCACAAGAACTGACTTGTTTCATAATTCCAAGCATTGTCATCTTCATCTACATCCTCATCCAATGAAGATTTCAACAAGAATTAGAATTTCATGTCTTCATGTTTGTGGCATCAGTACCTGAGACAATCTGACCATCTTTCGTTCCATAGGTAATGTGTCCGTTTCTGAAAGTTGTATGGCAACTGTATTTGCAATGTAGAATATAGAATGACATATTTCACACATCTCAATGTGAAGCAAGAAACTCGGTTGCTTAAAGGTTTACCATCAGTGTGTAACATGAATGGATAGCTGTCTCAACTAGTTCAAATTTGGCTGCTGCTAACAACCTAAGAAAGTGTTTAGTGTCAATAAAAGGGTCTTTAAACAGTTGCTTCTTGATGAGATAAATTGAGTTTTAAATTTCTAATCAAACTGTGAATGCTAGAAATGTCAGCAGTCTGAAATTAATCGCTACGTTCACACCACATGAAAATGTTCATCTGACAACCGACTTTCTCAGACAGAGCACTTCGTGACATTTACCAGTAGAATGAATTAAATTGGGGGAGTCTTTAAACAGGTTCTTTCTATGCAAATGTTTGATGATGTGTCCTGAATTCTGAGTACATCTCCATTGACCCTGTGATAATTAAAGAAGTTGAGCTGTCAGCCCTGTTTCTTTGAGCTCTGACAGATCCATGTAACTGGAAAATATTGTCATGATTTGACAGCAGGCAGAACTGTGCATGTTGCATGTAGTTATTGTTGTAGCTCACCTTAAACGAAGTTGTTTGAGAGTGTGTTTCATCATGTTGTCTATTAGGTCCAAAACTACTTGTGCTGGTTGTGAGGTGAGGTGAAATTGGGTTTTACGTCGTGCTTGAGAATATTTCGCTCATATGACGACGTGCATGCGTGTGTATGTATGTGTATGTGCAGCTGCTTGTACTAGCCCAGACTTAAGCTGGTTTTATAGTGCTAGCCCACTGAGATACCATGCTGCAGTGAAGCATGAATACCCCACTCAGACACATTATACTGACTCCGAGCCGACCAGTCCTTGTTGTACCCATTAATGCCGAGCGCCAGGCAGGGACCAACAAGTACCATATTTTAACGTCTTTTGGTATGACGCGGTCGGGGATCGAACCCACGACCTTCCGCTCTCCGGGCGGACGCTCTAACCACTACACCACGGAGGCGGTCGTGCTGGTTGTGACCAGATGGACTTGTGACTTGGTAAATGAGCACCGTCATGCCGTCATGCTGTGGATGTTACTCATGACATCAGTCATTGGACTGCCATGACCGCTGCCATTGAGCTGGAATATTGCTGACTGCAGAATTAAAGATAAACAGACATGGTCTGGACATAACTTATGATATTTTTTCTTGAAATACTAATAAACCAGAAACTTTGGGCAGTTCATAGCCCATTACACGTTCAGATTTGTACATGGGTTTCTACATCAATATTTTTAGCAAAAAAGAATGTTATTTATAATTTCTCAGAAACATCTATATGGTTAGACTGAGACCTTACATATGATAATTGATAGTAGAATTATTATTATTATTACCATTCTAATACTAGTTATCTTGTGTACATGATGTTGCAGGTTTGTGTCAGTTAATGGCAACCCCCTAGGGAGCACTGGATTCAAGCTCAGCTGGTCGGCAGTCAGGATACCTGGAAATGGTGAGTGGAGATCTGAACAATAAATCACAATGTAGTGTATGCAGTGATAAAGGAGGGAACATACCATGTGAACCCAGACATCCTTGTTAGCAGATACTGAACAGAAGTTAGAGCACACCCGATGCATGTGTCAAGGCCATGACAGTTTAACTTTAGTCATGTGAAAAACTTGAGTGTTTTGTAAACTTCCTTTGTGAAGCATGTTATATGTCAAGATGGATTGTGATTGTTTGAGGTGATTGTAACAGATATGTAAGATATGAGAGTGTTGAGTTCTGGTTGGGACTCAACCCCCCAAAATTGCTAGAATCTGTTCCTTACTTGTAATGCCAAATATGGTAGACTACAGCTAGAAGACACTCAAAGGGACCACTTATTTAGCTCTTCATAACTGTAGTTGGTTATACACATTTCAATTAAACTATGCAACCCTTCACTTATAAGGGTTATGTTAGTGTTCATGTGTATATTCAAACAAAGAAGTAAAGATATGTATTATCAAGAGTGGTCAGCTACCGTGACTGCTTCCAAATATTTACGCACATATTCAACCTATAAACTTGACATAATGCCGGAAACTTACCTACGAGTCTTGCCCTCTGCTCATTTGCGTAGAGCACTGACAAAATTTCGATGTGGTATTGCTGGTTTTAACATACAATTATACAGAAGATCGAAAAGTGCAGATATCACAATTGCCATGTGTCCACATTGCCTTAATAATTTGGAAATGAATATCATGTATTACTAGAATGTCCATTGTACAACAATCTACGGAAAAAATATCTACCATGTTATTACTACACCAACCCCAACTATCACAAGTTTGTAACTCTTCTGAATTCAAAATCAGCTAATATACTAGTACGTTTAGCTGTGTATTGCACAAAAGTACCATCACATACAGTTCATATGTGAATCAATGTCCTGGCGCTCCGGACTCTTACTACTATGAATGTTGATGTACTGATGGCCATCCATACAAATAAAATCATCTGTCTGTTATGTTATAAGTATGTTTGTTTTGAATAAAGTTTACTTTATAACAGATGCTGCTGCTAAAGCATTTTGTTCTTGAGGTCTTTTTTATGTGCCATCATTTGTTGCTGACTAACTAAAAAAAATAAGAGAAACATTGTGACAAAGGAAATATCTCATTTACTAACAGAATATCATTGACTAGACAGCATTGACTTTGGGTCAGGTGAGCTTCAGCAGGGAAAATATTTTGGCTTCCAGCAAAGTTTCCTTTTTAGTGTTAAGAATCGTCCCCAGTTCCTGATTCCTGACACGTTTTTAGGACTTGTTTTTGGTGGCTTTACCATGTAATTTGGCTCAAAAGCACCAAACTTTTGTACAGTTTTGAGGTCAACACTCTAGAGGAAAACTGAACCAAGGAAGTATAACAATATATGGATTAACAACCTCTTTATTACAGTGAGAGCTCCTCACAAGCTCCCTCTGTAATAAAGGAGTTGTTCATCCATATCTTGTTTTCCTACCTTAGTGCTCCAACATCTAAATGCCTCTCAAACAAGTTAACGCTGAAGCAGTAGAATGTTTAAAAGAATATAGGAAATAGAGCCGCATGCTGTGTGACTGTTCAGTGAATGCTTTCAGTAGAGCTTGATTGTGCTCAGTGACTGGCCAGGGTTAAATAATAACAACAATAGTAATAGTCATTTGCAGTTTATTATTCTAACTATCGGGGCAGTGGGGTAGCCTAGTGGTTAAAGCGTTGACTCGTCACGCCGAAGACCCGGGTTCGATACCCCACATGGGTGCAATGTGTGAAGCCCATTTCTGGTGTCCCCCGCCGTGATGTTGCTGGAATATTGCTAAAAGCGGCGTAAAACCAAACTCAGTCAGTCAGTTATTCTATCAAGTTACATTATTTTTAATGCTTTTGATGGATTAGCTCTAGTAGACAGGGCTGTATATGAGAAAGTATGGACATATGACAGACATGGTGTCTGTATTACATGTCTATCCATCTCTTGTAAACCCGTAGTTTGGCCGTATGAATATGTGACCATAAAAGATTAGACGTGTATGGAGCAATTATATATTGCTACAGCTGGAGCTCTTAAAGGGTCTTGCAGCTCTGTGGGAGTAATATATGTGAAGAATAACAATGTGATGAGCAAGGGTGGTGACAGGCAACCAATGTATAATCAATGGAAAAAGTCTGCTAAAATTCTGTACATTTACAATGTTAATCTGTTTTAAAAGCATTTGAATTTTTCAAGGATTTAAGTTTATCTCATATATTTTCATAATTTTTAAATCCTCAATCTGTAATGAATCTCTAATGTGACATGGAATGACAGAAATGTAATTTTGACAGAAATGTAATCTGTCATCCATAAATCATGTTAAGTCTACAGTTGCATTGGGCAATTTGTTTAGTCGTAAAGAGGAGCAAAGTTATTCTGTAAGTTTATTACAAGCAGGATTATTTATTTTGGTAACTATCTGAGGCACTTCACCCCAGAAAATATATTTCTAGTCCCTGAAGATCAGTGGCGCTCACAGTTGATCAGTTGAAGCAAATATTGCCAATCCATTCATCACATGTAGATGTGAATTCAGATGAATAAGGTATCTGCAATTTGTTGCAAATTGTAATGCACCAAGAAGAGGGAAGGACTTTGGCTACTTTGTCACTCGCAGTGCAATTGACATGCGACCTCATAAACTGTCATTGATGATTGGAGGATTTGATGAGAAACCCGCGTGGGCTGAAGAAACAACTTGGAGTTTCACTTTGCTTAAAGGAATAAGAATTCTAATCACAAAATCAAACTGCAATCAGTTTCTCGTTCTCCTAAAAAGTTGTGTGATCCTAGAAGAACCTCAAAGTCCTGGAGATTGAATAGTGTTGAAATGTGACACAAAATGAATGTAATCCTTTAGACATTAGGGCTCTCTTTGGATTCCAGATGATTCCAGAAAAAACAGGGACTTTTACTCAAATTAAGTAACAGGGATAGTACTTAGGTTTTCATTTTATTCAGGGAAGAAAAACCCTGAATTAATTCCTCACATTTTTTTAGATGTTGCTACAATGGTAGCCATTTTAGATTAACTGTTGAAAAGCTCTAAAGTAGCTTTTTTGACCAAATTAGAGGTTTGTTAGGGCAAGTGTAAGATTTCCCAGTGGGATGTTGTAAATACAACAAGAGAACCCTGCTGCTGTTTGACATTCTATCTAGGAACACCAGTCTATGTAGTTTTTACAAAACATTCTTTCAAAATTCTAGCAAATGCTAAGCTTGTTCCTTTTGAAACTCTTTGAGTTTTTGCTTCTAGAAATGAAATGGAAATATTAAAATTATACATTCTGATTTCACTAATAGATCATATAAAATATAAAGCATTCCCATACTTTGTTTGAGGGGACAGTGGAGTCAAACCAAAGTGGCAGGTACATGGTACAATGTGTGAAGCCCATTTCTGGTGTCCTCAGCTGTGATATTGTTGGAATATTCCTAAAACAGGTGTAAAGATTACTCAACCACTCGCTCACTAACAATTTTTGAGTAGCATATACATGTATGTAAATGGAAAAGAATCTATTACCCAAACTTTGGCATATCTGAATTAGGAATTTACAAAATAATTTGAACTTACACTTTTCTCCAATATTTCTACAAAATCTGTTGTCATTTGCAGATTACGCTTTTTACTTTTATGTACCTCTTCCATCCCTGACTTTTACCGCGGAAAAAAGAATATAAGAACACAAAATGCAAATGCTCCTGGATTATCCACAATTGGAGGGTAAATATCATGACACTCAGGGTAAACTATCCACAATTGGAGGGTAAATATCATGACACTCAGGGTAAACTATCCACAATTGGAGGGTAAATATCATGACACTCAGGGTAAACTATCCACAATTGGAGGGTAAATATCATGACACTCAGGGTAAACTATCCACAATTGGAGGGTAAATATCATGACACTCAGGGTAAACTATCCACAATTGGAGGGTAAATGTCATGACACTCAGGGTAAACTATCCACAATTGGAGGGTAAATGTCATGACACTCAGTGTAAACTATCCATAATGCAGAACGGTTGAGTTACACAAATCAGATTTCTGAACTCTTTCTTACTAAGACTTGCCTCTAGCTAAGCTGAATGATCAGAAAGTTCTTTGTATAAGATATCCTATGGAGGTTTGTCAATTATGATAGAGAAAACCTGAATTTAAATGAGACTGAATCTGCTGGTGGGGATACTATTTCATCCTGAATCTTCCCGTGTTTCAATATCAGTGCTGTTTGCTGGTAGTCCCTAAATGTATACTTCTTTGAACCCTCAAACCACTTTGAACTTGCCCAGCTTCCCATCACAGTGCCCTAAGTATCTCCACATGTTTGTAGAAGCCTCGGTGAAGTATCAAGTAGAAAATTGGGAAAGGGAGCTAGCGGTTGTCTGATCTTAACCAATTTTTCTCATAACCAGAGTCTTTTCTAATTTGAGAAAGCATAACAAAAGCATGAATCTCATAAAGTCTGCAATTGGATTCACAGACCTCTTTGGACCTTCTTTAACAATGTCTAAGATTATTGAACCTCAAAGTAAACAGCAAGGAAGCCCTCTGAAAACCTATTTCTAGCATCAGGTTGGAAATGTGTTTTTGCAGAAATCAATTGTGGTTACTACGACCTGGGTTATGAAGAACTAACCTTTTCAGTGATTTCAAACAGTTGGACACAACAGGTCTATAAAACCTTTCAGCAAACTGAACTCAATATTGAAAGACAGATTTTAATGAGATTGGCCAATGCTGTGATGGCCTGTAACGTGTTGCCTCAAGTGCTGATATGCTTTCGAACTAAGCCCAAGGTGTCACATGACTCCTTCACCAACGATCTCTTCCTGATGTCGTGCCGGGGTGTCATTCCAACTAAGATTTTAAAACAAAATCAATATTTTCTCAGCTAATTTAGATTAATTATGGCAATGGTGAGTATTGTGAGATGGCCGACCTAATACAGGCTTCGTCAGTGACCTGACAATAGTAGGGTGAGGGACCGACAGAGAAGTAAGACGTCAATACACCAGGGACCATCAAATGATTGTTAGGTCACCATCATGTAACTCATCCACAACAGTGCCAGTGCTGTTTTAATGGTTGAGCTGAAATTTCACTGAGAGGCCCATAGTTTCAATTCAATTTGATTATAGGTGAAGAGATATGGAAAACATATGGAAGTGAAGGAGTTTCTCTGCGATGAAGTGTGATATTATTTTGCTACCTGATCAGGTCACCAGAGAGCTTGATCAGAGTTGACCTTAAACAAACTGAGAAAGCGTAAGGGAAATCAGCAGGATCATGTAATGTCATATTTGTTTTGCCCATTAGACCTGTGGGGATTGTTTGGCAGAAAAGGTTCCTGAACCGATGCAGTAAAGGTAACTAATGAGAATCCGATGGTTACAAAGAGTGGCCATGTTGACTGGTTGTCAACACGGTATACAGTCTCATGCTGGCCCAGTCACAACCATCCAGTCTGAAACGTCAACATACACATTCACTTTTCATGTTTAGACGAGCACTGTGTGCCATCAATCTACAGTCAAAGGTGCCACAGTATTACTGTCCAGAGTTGCCTCCCTTAGTGATGTTCTGATCTGCTGTCCTCTGTTCAATATGCCTATCGGGGCGGTGGGGTAGCCAAGTGGGTAAAGTGTTGGCTCGTCACGCCGAAGACCCGGGTTCGATTCCCCACATGGGTACAATGTGTGAAGCCCATTTCTGGTGTCCCCCGCCGTCATGTTGCTGGAATATTGCTAAAAGCGGCGTTAAACCAAACTTCGCCTCCGCCAATATGCCTATCAATAACAGTACTTACTTGATTCAGCACTATACCCATGTGTGTGGGTTTTAGAACATTTCCAGTTTTATTCACATCTATACTGGTAATCTACAAGACACTACAGACTATGTAGGATATACAATGATGAGCTTTCCTATATATTTAATAGTTGGAATAGAGGCACTGTAGTTTGTTGTAAGGACTTAGTTCCCTTGGGTGCCCCAGAAACCTATGATGGTGGGTTCAATACCAGATCACCCTGATTGTCAGCACTACTCACCAAAGTGGTAATTGTCTGAGGCCAGACTGTGTTAATCCTCACTCACTCACTCACTCACTCACCCATCCACCCAAACCCCACTCACTCACTCACTCACTCACTCACATGATGAGGACCTTTACCTTCAATAGAGAAGTTGCCCTTGTGTTTTTTGGCTTGGTACCAAAGTAGAAAATGTTCAACAGAAGTTGGAAGAGAGTTCAGTTGGGCACCTGTAACATTTTATATATACATATTTTGAAAACATTATGAAAACAAACTATCAAAACCTGTATTTTGTATTTTGTAAGTGGGAAAAACCTTATTACCGGTAGTATTTTAGAAATCTATTACATCCATTGAACCTATATAAGTGTAGCCAGGCACTGATATGTCACAATGTTTCATGACATTGTGATAACTGGGGCCATTGTCTACTGTGATGCATGGAACACTAAATGAATAAGTACATTGTCCTAGCACATGTCACTCTATGAGAACAGCAAACATGGCCAGGCTTGTGAACTTACAAAAATGAATTGCCTGTAAAAAGATCTGTCACTACCAGTACATTAGACGTTTGTATTTGAAGTACATGTTCTATTTGTGGGGCTTTGATCTGTCCAGGCTTCTGTGGTAGAAAAACATGAGACAATGAAACCACTCAAGTACCGGTATGTTTTTATGATACAAGGCATGTGGAACTCCAAAGAACTATAAAATTATAAACTTATAAAATATACATTTGCTTGAAAATACAGTGTTAACAGTCGTAACTTTAATGATTCTAAATTGGCTGTGCTTTTCTCCCAAAAGTGCATGTGCTCACACACACCACTCATGGCATCAATACTATAATACTTTGTTGTGCAAAAGTTAATGTTGAGAGCTAAGAAATGAAGTGCACATGAAAATATCCAGTGGCAGAGTTACCATTTTTTCTGAGGAAATATGCTTATTTTTTTCTGAAAGGAAATGCATGTGACCAGTTTGTGGACATAAAAAATGTTGTGTTTTAAGTGCGATCGCCATAACAGAAGTGCAGTGACTATGAGACACACAAAAATATGGATGATCTGATGAAACATGCATTACATTGTGTCATGAATGTATCATTGACACGCAGATGCCAACAATATAGATAATTTTTATTGCAAATATGCTTCATACTTCTATTTCATATTAACCTACCTATCACAACCTACAGTCATGTGACTAGATTTCTTGTCCATCACTTGGTTGTTGGGCATCAAACAATGTAAATATTTGAGCAAACAGTGTGAATGACAGGAGCTAACAAGAATGTAGCACATGCTTACCCTTTCCAAGAACATCTGGTGTCTAATCTAAATTTCGTTGATTCACCCATACCAGTAGTTTTCACCTCAACTTTACCTTCTTTGCCGAAAGAATCTTTTATAATTCAGACTGATTATTCTCTAGTTTTGATGTTTAATATTTTAATACAGGACCGTCATACAGTGTACCACATAATGTGTCCTTGCCAGTTAGTTTGTGACTTGTTTGAGTGGCATTTAGAAGTTGGTGTGATGAACAACGAGGAGAGTTCTATGGATATAGAAGAAGTTGTATATCCATAGAACTCTCCTTGTAGTTAGTTTGTGTACTACCCGTGAAGGTCCGGGTTAGAATGAACCTTCAGTAACCCATGCTTGTCGTAAGAGGCGACTAACGGGATCAGGTGGTCAGGCTCGCTGACTTGGTTGACACATGTCATTAGTTCCCAATTGCGCAGATCGCTGCTCATGCTGTTGATCACTGGATTGTCTGGTCCAAATTGATTATTTACAGACCGCTGCCATATAGCTGGAATATTGCTGAGTGCGGCGTAAAACTAAACTCACTCACTCACTAGTTTATGTACTTTCAAATAAAATGTTACTCCATATGCTACTTGACATAAATCAAAATGTCAGTGCCAGAAATTGGTCTTGAATATCTACCTAACTAGATTCCAAAATCTTAGCACTAATTATGTGAATGAATCGCTGAAAATCAGGTGTTCATGAAATGCATAGACACATTCCACTCTTCTACTGTAGCAGCTGCTGCCTACATGATGTTTGTACAAATTAAGGCGCCAGAGAAGAAAGAGGTTTTAAGTTGTTATTTGTAGTAACTGAATAATTTATTGTGTTGCACATGTATAATATCTATTTTTCTCAGTAGGAAACTGTGATGAGTTCCTGTGTGAAGGCGGCAAGTCCTGCATCTCCACGATATGTCCCTCCATGCCTCGCTACTGCATCAACAAGTCACTGCGATGTGATCGCATCCCCAACTGTGGCCCCTTTGATGACAGCGATGAAAGAAGATGTAAGAAATCTTGTTGTCCGATATGACAGGCGTTATAATATACACAACATCAAGAAACACTGCATAGTTATTCAACAAAATAACTGATCGCTGATCAATATTATGTTTGTAAAATGTTGTAAATACTAAGTTTTTATGTTGCATTTTTTTCAGTTGATTCACTTGACAAGAATAAATGAAACTTGTGTGTAAAACTGATTAATCTGTAGTCCTTTACATTAATTCAGATTTAAGTTTCAAATTTATTTCATCAGAATTTGTACTTTAAATAAATGTAACATAAAGTAAAACAAATATCAGTTGTGAAAATATACTGTCCTGTCCACTTGTCCTGTCCAGTTATTGTGACCTCTGATTTCATGTCTATGTCTGTCTCTCTTCGTCCTGTAAATCAGGATGTGGCATCGTAGTAGAGTTTGTCATATGGTTTTGTTAAGAAATCTGTTTCAGTTTGAGTGTTGTGAATTGATCTTAATGAAAAGTTATCCTTCCTTTTTAAGCCATTAAAAACATGCATCTTTGGTTTGAAGTTTGAATCAGTTGTAAGCCTGAAGAAGAAAAAAAAATCCTGGTGATGAGAAATACATTTTATTCATGACCAAAGACCATATTTTTATTATATTTTTCAGGTCCACGAGAAATCTTGATAATGACTGCCTGCATAGCTCTCCCCAGTCTCGGTGTTATTGGGCTGGTCATCCTTGTTGTGTACTGCTATCGGGCAAAGCATGTGACAAAGTCGTTGTCACAGGAACAACCATTAGCCAATCAGAGACAGGTATCACGTGACTCGATGAGTCCTTCACGGAGTCAGTGTATGATGCATACAAGTTTCATCGATGGCAAGATGGGAGGTGAGGGAGAAGGGGGACATATGGAGAAGATGGACAATGGCGCGGGTCCTCCCCCAGAACCCAGTTTTAAGACCCATCAAAAACGTGCCTCGTATCATATGATGAAACAGACGTTTGAAGACAATAATTTTGTCATTGCAGAAATTTAGGCCATCATTTCATTTATGATTTAGTCTAAAACATCATTATTGTAAGCCGTTAGTATCAGATGTCTGCACAACTGCTGAATGGTGAAACGTGGACGAGAGATCAAACATGAAGTCCCTATTCTTGATGATGAATGATAGCACTCAGTGTTCATTATGCAGAGGATGATTCTACGAACATGACCTGTTTCCAAAATGACGAAAATCACTGTTGCCATGATGAATCCTGAAGTCATTAAAGTGTCTGTAATGGTGTCTACAGCTTCAGTAAACTGATGGAGGTGACAGCATGATGTCCCAAGAAACGATTTCTCAAGTTGAAAATGATGCACTAGGGATATATTCATCACAGACAATATGGACCCAAAGAAGTTCAATATTGATGGGATGATAATTATTCATTGATGGATCTCCTGATACTTATGACTGTGTCACATCTAATGATAAGACAGTATGATCGTTCGGCATCTCATTGAGGGCTTTATGGAAGCTACTAACGTGTCTAATACACTATGGAAAAGACATTAGGAGACATACATCCTTATTTGTCAGCAAATGAATGAGATGTCATACACCAGGGAACAGATACCTTGTCATGTTCAGCATAGATATTGGTGACATTATTGACATATGTCAGTATTACCTTTGACAACCAGATAACAATAATGTTATTGTAGTACTTATCTGACTGTGTTTATAGCATCTGGTAATGATCATTAGGTACCTGAGAGGCAATGGAATAGCTCCCAAACTCACATCAAGACCAATACATCTGATCAACACATAAATGCTTGCCATATGCCCGATGCATAATTGTTTCGCATATTGCTGGACACTGTTGACATGTGGTTTCAGTTCATACACACTTTATTCTGAGAACTGGTATCTGATGTACCAGTATTCATCATGTTCCACTGATATTGTTACCCTGGTACATACAGTATGGTAGGTATATATTTATGCAAGATTCAAGAAGAACATGCTGAACACGGTTGTGCAATTTGACTTTTCTATCATTGTAATCATTGCTGACATCTGGACAGTGATTGGTGGATGAGAACGAATCATGCATAATACATTTCCCTTGACACAAGAGGCTGAAGTGAAGAAGATTTTCTGTAACATTTATGTGTTTATTGATGTTATGCATTGTTTTCAGCAAGTAACAGGCTGTATACAGATGTCCAACAACTGGTAAAGTTTGATACGTTCAGTTAGCTGGAACCACAGACGGACTCTTGGGTGTGCAGGTTTAGCTGCTCTTCGGTTTGATCTGTTTAAAATGCCTGACAAAGTCATGTCATTTGTTTTTGAGCAAAGGAATTTTACCTGATGAAGTCATGTCATACGTCTTTATGAAGTCATGTCATGTCAAATTTGCTTGATAAAGCTATGACATCAATTGCATATAGCTTAGTGAAATCATATGATATTGTTTTTGATCAACAGCACATGGCTCAATGGAGCCATATCATAAACTTTTATATCAAAGGCATATTACTTGTTGAATTCATGTCATAATCTCCTTGATCAAAGGCATCTGACCTCCATTGATCAATGGCTAATGGCCAAATGGAGTCATGTCATCTTTGATCAAAGGCATGTTGTTTGATGAAGTCATGACAGACTTTCTTTAGTCAACAGCATATGACCTAATAGATATCATACCCTGATTGATCAATGGCTTATGGCCAAATGGAGTGATGTCATCTTTGATCAAAGACATGTTGTTTGATGAAGTCATGACAGACCTTCTTTAGTCAACAGCATATGACCTAATGGATATCATACCCTGATTGATCAATGGCTAATGGCCAAATGGAGTGATGTCATCTTTGATCAAAGGCATGTTGTTTGATGAAGTCATGACAGACCTTCTTTAGTCAACAGCATATGACCTAATGGATATCATACCCTGATTGATCAATGGCTCATGGCCAAATGGAGTGATGTCATCTTTGATCAAAGACATGTTGTTTGATGAAGTCATGACAGACCTTCTTTAGTCAACAGCATATGACCTAATGGATATCATACCCTGATTGATCAATGGCTCATGGCCAAATGGAGTGATGTCATCTTTGATCTAAGACATGTTGTTTGATGAAGTCATGACAGACCTGCTTTAGTCAACAGCGTATGACCTAATGGTTATCATACCCTGATTGATCAATAGCTCATGGCCAAATGGAGTGATGTCATCTTTGATCAAAGGCATGTTGTTTGGTGAAGTCATGACAGACCTTCTTTAGTCAACAGCATATGACCTAATGGATATCATACCCTGATTGATCAATGGCTAATGGCCAAATGGAGTGATGTCATCTTTGATCAAAGACATGTTTGATGAAGTCATGACTGACTTTCTTTAGTCAACAGCATATGACCTAATGGATATCATACCCTGATTGATCAATGGCTAATGGCCAAATGGAATGATGTCATCTTTGATCAAAGGCATGTTGTTTGATGAAGTCATGACAGACCTTCTTTAGTCAACAGCATATGACCTAATGGATATCATACCCTGATTGATCAATGGCTCATGGCCAAATGGAGTGATGTCATCTTTGATCAAAGACATGTTGTTTGATGAAGTCATGACAGACCTTCTTTAGTCAACAGCATATGACCTAATGGATATCATACCCTGATTGATCAACGGCATATGGCCTATCACATGTGATTATGTAGAACCATTATTCCTCCTAATCGCTTTAAGTATTGTATTATATGTGTAAATGCTTAAAGTTGATGCTTGCTTTCTGAGCAACATTTGTTCTGTTAATTGGCATAATATATGAAGATTTATATCATGCTGACGCAAGAACTTGATACATTATTCCTAAAACCGTTCTATAAAGGTCACTGAGATAAGTTACTGTATGATGATATTGACTAAGAATGACATAGTATATATAATGAAGCCAGGCAAACAACTGAGGCTTTAACTTAAGTCATTATATGTTGGTGAAGATATTATGTGTATTTGAATCACAAAAATACATTTCATGCACATTACCATTTCTGCAATACTTTACTTTTTAACATTATGTGGATTGTTGTTTCTCAGTTTATGGAGCTTTATATTTCCAGAGTAACAGTTGTGCATTATTAACTGTTGATTTATATGTTTGACCACAGTGATGTATCTCACAGTGACGTATCTTTATTGCAAATGTTACACATAGAGTGACATTCTTATATTTATACCAATTATTAACTGTAACAAAATGCTTGATTTTTAGAAATCCTTATGTAGTTTTTCATAGGTTACCTGTACCAATGATGTATGTAGACATTTAAATACATGTTTTTGCTAAAAATACATTGAACTGTTATGGTGACACTGTTTATTCAGAATTTGTGTTCATCTGTTGTTACACAGTCATGGGTTTACAGGTTATCGAGAGGAAACTACTTTTGTATGACATGATTTCAATAACAAACTAAAATGACATTTCAGGTTCAACTTTCAGGACACATGCAGGTCATAATTGTTTATTGAACAATAAAACTATATGATTAGCAGTTTGACTTTGACTGGACTTTTAGAATAAGTATTCTAAGGTACTGACATTTTGTAGTTAGGTATATGTTTAGGTTTAATCATAAGAAAGTTAAGCACATCCAGCCCCACCAGTGATACCCATCATGAACACATGCAGAGGCATGTCAAGTGTTCACCTGAACACACATGGGAATATACTGTCAAAGATGAATTAAGTGATCTCATGTGCCTGTCATGAAAACTGTCTGTTTAGGCTGACCATGCAGACAGATACGTTAGCTTTGATGTACTTTTTAACTAACAAATGATTTGTTAATCAATCTGCTACATGTACAAAAAACAAACAACATTTGTCTTTGCCTCAGTGTGTGCTAATTTCAGCAAACAGGAGTAGAAATTATGAAGTCAGAGATTATGATACAAACATGTGTTCTGTCTTTGACACAATGAAATAAGACAATATGCTTAATACGACAATGTTATTAAAATCTAATACATGTTGACCAAACATTTGCCAATATTTGGTTTGTATTGTTGTTCCTTTATTCCACATTGGTAATAGTAACTCACCCACTATGCTATATATATATATATCCATGAAATCACAAACCTGTGACATACCAGCATTGTTTTAAATATTTAATTTTGTTCTTTTATCTAAAACATATTTATAAATACATATTCAATGTCAGTGCCAGTATTGTTTTAAATATTTTTTTTTTTTGTTATCTAAAATGTATTTATAAATACATACACAATGTCATGATAGAGAATAATCTGCCTTGATCCCCTGCAGAAACAGATTCAGTCAGGCATAAAAGGCAAAATATTTGTTTAAGTCACCAGAAAATACGTTGAAGGAATAGAATTCTGCTTTACTTTTCCTGATGCTTTTTATAACATTCTTTGTATATTTTCTCAAGTCCCCTGTACCCTGTACAATCTATTGGGACCTCTGTTGCATCAGGTCCATGTTCTCTATTACATTCTTTACGTACTGCTCATGTTGAGTCAAATATACTCCCTTATTCCTGGGTGATAGGAGGTATTACTTCTTGGTGCTGCTTCTTAAACTTTTCACATTCCAGTTGTTTTTAAAACTTTAAGATTCTTCAAGAACTAAGAAACAAGAAGTAGCTGTGAAATGTTGTTACAAACAAAAAAGACATTGTTGTCAATTAAAAGCATTTCAACTGCTATGGGACCAACTGTGTGATAGAAGATGGGAACCTTGGGATTTTTTACAACTGCAAAATTAGATATTTATGTAACTTTTACTATGAACTTAAACATGTTACTTGAACGATTTTGTGACAGACAGTTTCTTTTCTTTCAACAACCTCAAGCAGAATTGTTTTTTTCAGGCTTTTACAGGTACAAAATATTAATTTCAGTCCATTCCATGCCCTCAGACTGTCAAATGATTGGTCTCTATTGTAGAGAGAAAACCTAACAATAGACCGTTCTGTATAGTAGCAATCTTTGATTTATGCAGTATTGGTGATGTTTGCACCACTGTGTCAGGGGTGACCTGCTCCACGACCCACCTTACTGCTGTCTGTACCAGTACATGCTCCGGACCACTAGTGTATGTTGTCAGTTTGACCAGTTTGTCTTGAATCATCTGTTGTGTTATGACATCCAGGAGATGTTGCACTTGTATGTTCTCACCATCAAGCAAGGTTGTAAATAAACTATGTTTATGTCTCTATGTCTGTTACTTATTGTTGAGTTGTGTTCCAAGTCTGGGTATGAAAGATGAAACATATGAAAAACTAGGGCATCAATACCAGATGTCACTGGGCAATCACTAATACCTGATGTATGGTTGGATTTATTGGTGCCATTTGAAATGACTGGGTCAACAGAATCACTTGATATGACTGGGTCAACAGTATCACTTGATATGACTGGGTCAACAGTATCACTTGATATGACTGGGTCAACAGTATCACTTGACATGACTGGGTCAACAGAATCATTTGATATGACTGGGCCAACAGTATCACTTAATATGACTGGGTCAACAGTATCACTTGACATGACTGGGTCAACAGAATCATTTGATATGACTGGGCCAACAGTATCACTTGATATCACTTGATATGACTGGGTCAACAGTATCACTTGACATGACTGGGTCAGCAGTATCATTTGATATGACTGGGTCAGCAGTATCATTTGATATGACTGGGTCAGCAGTATCATTTGATATGACTGGGTCAACAGTATCACTTGATATGACTGATAACAGTATCACTTGATATGACTGGGTCAACAGTAACATGTATCACATTTGATATGACTGGGTCAACAGTATCACACTGGGTCAACAGTATCACTTGACATGACTGGGTCAACAGTATCACTTGACATGACTGGGTCAACAGTATCACTTGACATGACTGGGTCAACAGTATCACTTGATATGACTGGGTCAACAGTATCATTTGATATGACTGGGTCAACAGTATCACTTGATATGACTGGGTCAACAGTATCATTTGATATGACTGGGTCAACAGTATCACTTGATATGACTGGGTCAACAGTATCATTTGATATGACTGGGTCAACAGTATCACTTGATATGACTGGGTCAACAGTATCACTTGATATGACTGGGTCAACAGTATCACTTGATATGACTGGGTCAACAGTATCACTTGATATGACTGGGTCAACAGTATCACTTGATATGACTGGGTCAACAGTATCACTTGATATGACTGGGTCAACAGTATCACTTGATATGACTGGGTCAACAGTATCATTTGATATGACTGGGTCAACAGTATCACTTGATATGACTGATTCAACAGTATCACTTGATATGACTTGGTCAACAGTATCACTTGATATGACTGGGTCAACAGTATAACTTGATATGACTGGGTCAACAGTATCACTTGATATGACTGGGTCAACAGTATCACTTGATATGACTGAGTCAACAGTATCACTTGATATGACTGGGACAACAGTATCACTTGATATGACTGGGACCAACAATATCACTTGATATGACTGGGTCAACAGTATCACTTGATATGACTGGGACCATCAGTATCACTTGATATGACTGGGTCAACAGTATCACTTGATATGACTGGGACAACAGTATCACTTGATATGACTGGGACCATCAATATCACTTGACATGACTGGGACCATCAGTATCACATGACATGACTGGGACCATCAATATCACTTGACATGACCGGACCATCAATATAACATGATATGACTGGGACCATCAGTATCACTTGACATGACTGGGGCATGGTATCACTTTGTGTAACTGTTAGATCAGAGTCTAATGATGTCTCAGCTTCACGAGATGCACGAGTTGTACGTGCCAGATATACCCAGAACATGGAGTGCACATCGTACATTTATTGCGAAGCTATTGCAGTTTTCCCAGCGATCAATTAAAACAAAGCCGTCTTGCAATGCTGCAACCATCACAGCGATATGCAGGCTCTAAAACGATGCTTCAGTGTCGTCATCTGCACCAATATTTTCACACGAAAGTGTTTCTCGAGCTGGCGGATCTTGTCCACTTGAAAATAGAACATGACCTTTCTCCAACTGTGTTCTCGGACTATTGCCAAGAGGCTGTCTAAACATCCGTTAGAAAACACCAGTCCTCCCACGTGAACTGGTTGACGTAATCTAGAGTGATATTAAGGCACTGAGGACAAGTATTTTCTGTCAGTGGAAGTATTTTCGACCAATCAAACCACGTATCAGATGTTTCTGTGACAACTGATGGAAAGTTGTTGGCAACTCGGTATCTGTATTATACTCTTCGTTGTGGAAATATTTACATGTCAATATGTTGCTTTTTCTCATAGTTGTTCAAACGTAGGGATATTAGGGACACTAATAATTAGACAGTTATAATTATTCCCTGCAATTTGGATTCAGGGAATGGAACGCAGATAGTAAGCTGTGGAGACCGACTCGCCTTATGGACTCTTTCCTATTTTCAGGGGGGCGGTGGGGTAGCCTAGTGGTTAAGGCGTTAGCTCGTCACACCGAAGACCCAGGTTCGATTCCGAACATGGGTACAACGTGTGAAGCCCATTTCTGGTGTCCCCCGCCGTGATATTGCTGGAATATTGCTAAAAGCGGTGTAAAACCCTACTCCCTCACTCACTCCTATTTTCAGTGGAAGTCGAGAGACGTGTGCCGTGAACTTTGAGACACCATCTTTGTATAGTTATACTTACTAAATACTGAATATGTTTAGGGTGCATGTGATGGGAAACTGCAGTATGGCTATGAGGCAGGACATGCGTCGACTCATGAGTGTTCTTAGTCTATAGGTTTATTTAGTTGATGTATTCATTTCCAGAAAACAATACTTCTGGCTGATGTGATGGGCACACGGTGGAAATATAGCAAGGACATGCTGACGTTTGAGTTCATATTTTATGCTGAGTCAGTGAGTTTTTAGCTTGCGGCTCGCATATTATGTAAGATCAGCTGAGATTATGTTTTGGGCTGTACCACATAACAGGGTACAACGTGCCATATTGAACTGTTAAAATGTAAACTACTTACCGAGAGAGGCATTAAACAACAAATAGAATTTAAGCCACAATAATACAAGCATAGAAATGCTGAGCAAAGTGTGATTTAACAGACGCTTCCAAGGGTTCTGGTGATGGCTATTGTTTGAATTTATATTGGACAACAAATAACCGAAGTAAACAAAGTGTCACCGTTTATGATGAAACAAAATAGATTGTCAGACCAAGCATAAATTAATTAGCTTAGATCACTGAAGATACAAGAAAACAGTCGCAGCGCAAATACAGACTGCAACCAGCCTATATACGCAGTTCATGCATATGGACGCCTGCATGATTGGTTGGTTGGTTGTATATGGCGGCGGTCTGTAGTTGATATATCGAATCTGGACCAGAAAATCCAGGGATCAACAGCATGGGCATCGATCTACACAATTGGGATACGATGTCGTGTGTCGACCCAGTCAGTGATCCTAACCACCCGATCCTGTTAGTAGCCTTTTACAACAAATATGGGTTGCTGAAGACCAGTTATAACCGGATCTTCACGGTCTACGCCTGTGTGAAACACTGTCAACATTTATGAGTTACGCTTTAGAAACGATGAAGTGCTGTTGACTTTTCAGTAAAGTAACAGAAAACGGAGAATGGTCGCTGGGGACTAAAACCCTAAGAGAGTCAGTGAGACGTAATGTTTGTTTGTTGTCTAGTGTAGCACCTGACAGTATTCCAGCTGTATGACGACTGAATGTAAATACTCGAGTTTGTAACAGGCAGGTGATTGACATCAGGAGCATCTAGAACGCAAGTGGGATAGGGCGGCATGCATCAAGCAAGCAGGCGAGCCTGACCACCCGATCTAATTTGTCACATTTTATAAGCATGCGTTTCTGATAAGAAAGTAAGATTGTTTATGGATAACAACTTCTTTATTATATATGATGCGACGTTTCGGTATGGATTTTTATACCGTTGTCAAGCATGGATTCTTATAGCGTTGTCACTCTTGCTTGACAACGGTATAAAAATCCATACCGAAACGTCGCATCATATATAATAAAGAAGTTGTTATCCAT